GAGTTTTACTTTTAAAATGTAAGTGTATTTAATTTAGTGACGATGTAAATACAATAAAAAATAAACCAAGATTTAGATTAGAATAATTATCATTTTGATCCGTACATTGGTAATGTCTGACTGGGCCTTGTGTCACTTTATGTTCAACAAATTGGGCCCCGAGGTCAAAAAGATTAAGAACCCCTGATCTAGAGTCAATTCTTTAACAAAAATAGCTTAAAAGATTTAACATCAACATAAAATCTCAGCCAAAGCATATAAAATTCAAGTAAAAGAAATGTAGTGCAAGATGTTAACAATCTAACAAATGAACTAAATCATGCAAAATTCAAGTCACTCTGGAAAAAACTATAATAAACATATAGTAAACATTTATTATTTTTTATTTAACATATTTCTCAATATATAAAATTTAACAAATATCAAGACAACATCCAACGCTTTGTATTGTAATGTCAGTTTAACTAATTTCTTTATGTTGAAAACTCTTGAAAACAAGACTGTTTTGTCTTATTACACAAATTAAAATCCAGTTCCATATATTTCTATTGATGTCATTTCCCCGCTAGAAAAAATGTGTGATGGAGGTCCATGGAAGGCAAATAAGTTTAAATCAAATAAGCAAAAGAGGATTCAGTTAAAATTAATAAAAGGTATTTAAAGCTACGTTTTGAACATCCAAAACACGTCCAACACTTGTTGGCTGCCTGTGCTCTTTAGGTCAGACGTGTGTCTGGAAGTGCTTCTGTTGTTTGAAATGCTGGGGGAACCGTCTGATGGGGGAACGCGGCTCGACCTAACACCGGTCTCTGTTTAATGGCAGATGAAATAAAGAAAGTGGTGGTACTTTATTTACTTTGAGCAAGCGAACGTCGTGCTCACAAGATAATTAATCCACCAGGTAATTCAGAGGCGGTCTGTTCGGTAAATTTTACTCCAGGAGCTGCGAGGCTTGTTTTCAAGCTTCAGACTGAACTGAAGCAGCGGCTGCTGACGTCATTACGCCCTTGCGTGATGCTGCGTTCACTACAAGCATGGAAAACTCACCACTCAATACGGTCGCAATGATGCATGTAGGTACCAAAATGGAATTGCATGAACATTCACGTGGTGGTTATGTAATCCAGCGAATCGATAACAAAAAAATCTGCGTAGACAAATTTACATATCAACGTCATTGATTGTTTCAACTAATCGGTGCAGCCCTAGTTAAGGCACTAGATCACATTCTAAAACTTGTCTCTAAGAAAGCTGTTTCAGAAAAAAGTTCAGTTATTTAGGAGACATGACCAGTGGTGGTCAAGAGGTCATGTCAGGTGTCACAGTTGTTCATGCTACACTGTCAAAAAAACAAAACAAAACAAAAAAGATTAAAAGAGAAAAAATGGAAGGAAAGGAAATTTAAAATGGTTCAAATTAGTTCAAAATTATCAAATCTCAAAATAAAACTCAAATGTTGAATAAATAGAGTAAATATGAATGTAAAAATTTAAATAAATGGGGTTGAACACAAAGGTAACTTTGTTTCAGATCATTAAAGGCATCCGTTACATCGTTGATCTGGAGATTTCCAGGACAGTATGTCATAAACAAGATAACAGCAACAACCTGTCCGACTGTGACTTCCAGCCTGAAGGTCCTCTGCAGCAGGTCAGTCAGATCTCCGTGAGAAGTCTGAAAACAAACATTTCATTCATACTTTTGGACCTAAAATGGTTTTACAATCCATAAAACCTTTTATCTGCAGGATTTAAACTTTTTATGTTTCTGCTGTGAAAATGTCCAACTTTGTGTTTTTCAGACATTTCAGTGTCACCTGGAGGTTTGGCTGATTCCCTGGAAGGATCAGAGTAGAGTTCTTAAGCTCCTCTGTGAAACCTGAGGCTACAGCCCATGCTTCTGATCCGCTACAACTGGACAACATCCACAGAACGTTTCCTGCTATTTATAGCTACGCCAACAATAAAACAAACACAAAAAACAAACAAACTGTGTATTAGACTTTAGTGTCACCTATTTTGTGTAAAAATCTGAGTACTGACAGTCTGGATCAGTGGTGTCCAGTTATGGAGCCTATTACACGAATCTAGGATAAAGGTTTAAGCTTGAATTTAGGTGTAAACCTGAATTATTTAAGCATTGAATCGGTTGAGATAAGATAAGATGAGATAAGATAAGATAAGATAAGATAAAATTTTATTGATCCCACAGTGGGGAAATTTGCACATTACAGCAGCTCAAAACAGGATAGGGTGAGATAGAATAATGAAAGATAAGTAAAAGAAAAACAAAAACACTATAACAATATACACTCACCGGCCACTTTATTAGGTACACCACACTAGTAACGGGTTGGACCCCCTTTTGCCTTCAGAACTGCCTCAATTCTTCGTGGCATAGATTCAACAAGGTGCTGGAAG